ATTGTTTGTATGGGGATGCGCCACTCGCTCTAACCATCCTACTAAATAGGATTACACCCACTTTATCGGTGGTGGAGCCGTATAAGAGAGGAGTGCTGGTCTTACGGTTCGTCGTCGATAACACCTACACACTAACAAGATCCAGGAAGGTTGGTGCTTCAGAGTGGTATCTTTTCCTGGTTCCATGCCCTCCGCGTAGCAAGTTGAAGAGTGGAGTTGAAGATCATGAAGGAAGACGCCCGATATGTTTCTATTTTCCTTATCTGAGAAGACGTGCCAAACTTTATGGGGCTTTAGTCGGGGTGAATCTAACATAACCCGTCATGTAGTCCCGTCCCTTATGAGTCGGTTATGCACAGGTATTTTCACATAGAAAAAGAAAGAGACTGTACTTAATAAGTAAGCGTTTTCTAAGTGTTTTTATAAATATGCTGCATATATATTTATGGTAAGTTTATACTAAACTGTACATGATATAAAAAGATAAACGTAGTGTGAACATTGCTTGCAACCGTAATGAAGGGAATTTATACAAGAGGCCCCGCCACATTATTATCCGTCGGCACTTAACACGGTCGGAACAAAAACAGGCCGCGTTGTAACAACCGGGTTGAAATTTACAATCAAAACGTGCAAAACTATTAAAGGGTCAGTTGTGAACAAAGTTACTTACTTGTATAAGCGAAATCAGATTATTCTTGCTGGAAAGCACCCGAAAAGTCGGGAATTAAAAAAAAATTTAAATTAAACGCGATAAAATCCGTAAAAGTAGTTTTAATCAGATTATCCTTTTTAAATCTTTGCAAAAATTATGTTTTTTGTAATTTTAAAATTAAATTTTATTTTTCTTTTTTTCTCGTCTTACGTGCTCAATTCCCTCACTAATTTTTCAGTTTCTCACTGTTTCGTTTCTTTTTGTTTATGGTTGTCAAATCGTAGTCTTTACAATTAAATTCAGTTTTTTTTTGCTTTATTAAGATTAGATAATATACCTACTTTAAGATATTGAGCTGTTGAGCACTTTAAAAAAAAAGAATATTAACAATACTATAAACATTACAAATATTCCCCTTAACCACTCGTGGTAAGCTTAAATTGCTTGTGTTACGAGTGGTTCACTCCAGTAGTCGAATGGTGAATTCGAACCCACGACCTTTTAGAGTTCGCGGTCCGCGCCCTGCCATTAGGCTACTGTCGCTTTGTATTTATCGTTATTTTATAATGTATATGTATGTACATTTATATGTGTATGATGTATATACGTATGCATTGATGTATAGATATATAGGTGATATGCAAGTGTACAGTTCACTTATACATTGTGTTATTCCCCACTCACTTCTCTGAATGGTTGTTTTTAATTTTTAGCTTTAAGTAATGTATGACCGTCCGTGAAGCGAATATTGGGCTCTATTTGAAAATCAGCGCTGCTGTCATTTAGTACAGCAGTAGTTAGTTAAAATAGGGACCTAATTTGACAACACAAAAATCCATTTTATTTTTTATTGTAATATTTCGAGTTATTTTTGTTTCTTTGTGATTTCAAATAAAGTTTTTCTTTCTTTCTTTCTTTTGAGCACAGTCACATTTACAACTAGGGCAAGGTTTCCATATATAAGGTTATCCGAGTTTTGACCTATTTCTGCCTTCAATCAGCTGTGTGGCTTCTGCTACTTCCGTTTGAAATTCAAATAAAAATAGGACTGTATAAGCATTGTTGGGGCTCCTCGCTATTGCAGCGCATTAAGTATGTTTGCAGATACAAAAAAAGACGATTTTTACGCAATCACTCGTAAAAAGTGGAGTCACTTGTGCGATGCCTGCAAGGGAGCCCGAACAAAGTCCTACTAATGATTAGAAAGAGAGTGGATTCTAACGTGCGTGAAAAGTTTATTGAAATAATGTTTTATGAGTTCCATAAGCCGACAAACCTGAAGTTTAGTCTCTGTATGAAGTTTTGTATAGATATTGTTCAGTTTTTACTAACATAGCATGTAAGAATCTTATCATCTTAGATCTTAAAGGCTACAATGCTGATGTATTCTTCCCATACTAGGTGTTAGGAGCCTTCTTTGTTTAATGTTGGTTGCAGCACACAGTCCACCTGATGATAAGTGGATGCTGTGGCCCATAGACATCTACATTTATCCTCGATTAAGAAGCAAAATGCAGATACGATTTTTTACACTATTTATAAATATATATATATGATTATGCATAACAGATATATATGTTGTATATATGTATATTATATAGATCACATATATGTTACAAATATCTTGCTATCACTCGACGCCATATTATGGCGTTTGACAAGTGCGCATATTATTTGAGACGCCAGAATATGGCGTTTGGACAGACGAGGGGATAAGAATTTTCCCAATACAAAATGTTACGAAAAAATTTTTGCCAATGGACGAAATGGAGTGATGGAGTCAAATCTCACGTAGCCATAGGTTGAGTAGTGTTTCAAACGAAATTTTATGAAATACACCCAAATGAACAATAAGAATTGTATAAGTTTTATTTTTAATATAAGGTTTGCCTAATATAAAAAAAATCGGCAACTGCACAAAGAGAATCCCAACGTAAATGAAATGTTATATTTTTCGTAGCAATTGCGAAAAACACTGTTAAACCTTTTTTCAGAAAATGCTGGAAAAAAAAAATATTATATATATATAATATATATATATATATATATATATATATATATATATATATATATATATATGGTGGATGGTTTAATTTTATCAAATTTAAACCATCTAAGTGAAACTTTTACAGTAAAAACTTTCATGATAGACGCTGAAATGTTTCAATGCGAGGTGTTTAATTTAATTATTTTAAGCCACAAAATACATAAATCTGATAATTGTGTTACCAGTAACAAAAATCAATTTCCCTAAAATATTACAAGTTGCATTTTAAAACGAAGAATTAAAATTGTCAGTCATACCAAAAAGTTTAATCTACCAAAGCAACCATCCCGCCTGAGAGCTCGGTTTCACTATCAGTTCAAACATTCATTATCAATGCAATCGCATGTTTACTTGGAAGTATATTGAGTGCCGCATTTTGTTAAGCATTTTATTACCCACAGTTCCGTGTTATTCAAGTAAGATAAAATACCTCTAGAAATACTTTAGATGTGTATGTATTTTACGTCACAATAATGGACTCAGGGTACATATTACAGTTCAAGTTAATACTTTTGTAAAGCAAAAATTACTGGTCATACCTTTAAAAATAATAATACTCTAATAATGCAGTCAAATTTTTGAAAAAAAAAACGCTGCAGATATATTGTGGTTGCAACACGAATGGGTCGGCTCGACCGGGGTAGAACTACGCTCTCACAGAATATCAGCGTAAAATAGCAGCTTAATGTTGCTGTGTTTCGAATGGTGAGCGAAGAGAAAAGGAGACCCTTATTACTGGAAAAGAGGCATTCCATCTTATTCCTCAGGGCTGGGGGTGCATCTTCATTTTGATTCTTAATTGAAGATAAATGTAGATGTCTATGGGCCACAGCATCCACTTACTATCAGGTAGACTGTGTGCTCGTTTGTCGCCCATATTTTATAAAAATCCTAAACCTTATCAACCAAATTTTCATTGTACCGTGTAGCGGTGGTATAAGAATATCTACTCCCACATATCGTCCCGTGGGTGTCGAGAAAGTTGAAAGAACGAAACTGAAAAAGAAGATGAGTATAGTAAGAGAGATTCTGTTGCAGGGGATATGGATTATTGCCAAACTTGGCAATAATGTCCATGTCCCCTCCCCTACACGGCAGTCTATGTCTGTTCATTAGTTGCCTTTTATATGCTGTAATGGACGTTACACATGATTTTTGTGTTGTCCATGTTCATCTTTAGACCTATCCGTTGGGAGAAACTATTGAGGCCATTGAGCATAGTGCTTAGGTCCTCCAGCGATTCCGCCATAAGGACTATATCGTCGGCAGATCGAAGGTGAGTGATGTACTCGTTGATTTCAATACAGTATCGTACAGATTTATTGAACCGTATAGATTGAAATCTTATCAATAGGAAATAACTTCATATCAATGGTGATATACTATATTAAGTTTTTTTTCTTCTTTGTCTTTACCAATTATTGTAAGGAAATTTAAACACAACAGACTAGGCTGCATTTTTAATATTTCGACCTTAGGACTTTGTATCCACGGTTTATGTATCACACGGTTAAAACCTAGATTCAAGATTTTGATTTAATCAAAGTCAACTAAATGGGCAAAATAAACGTATATTATAGCGTAGCATTTATTTTCCTATTCAGAGAGCAGTACTGATATTCCATTTTAATTTTTTAATAACAGTCGTGAAAAGTTAAATAGACAATTCACCATCAGATACGTTTGTGCTTTTTATAATATTGAAAATATTTTTTTGGCCTTTTTTTTATTTTTATCAGAAATTTACATTATTTCGTCGATCTTAAAAATGGTATCAATAATTTATTACTTTACGCGAAAAAACGGACCTCTTTCATCGAATAGTATAGGACTATGACACCACTAACGAAAGTGGAATTTCGATATAGGTAAATTCATGTCTTTATCTTGAATTTGCTTGTTCAAAAATACGATTGTATAATTTTGACTCGATCATAATTATTTTCGAAAACACCTCTAAAAATCACTATAGTTGAAATTACAACGAAATTATTTAATATATAAGCTTGAGAATCACTCAAATTTATTCATAACATCAATATTCATAATTTACTTGCTCATTATTTTGATTATTTAAATTAATAATTTTGAAAAAAATATTTTAAGATTTTGGCAATTTCTAAGCGGTCTTAACCGTCGCGGGAATTACCCAATTTTAGACCTTATGACGGCGTTTTTTTTAAGTTTTTTTATAGAAATGATGTATTCACTCGGATCAGTACGGCGATAGCCCGGAGGCACTTTTTCGATGTGTCGTCTTAAGTTTGTGTTTAGCTCTCACTGGTTGCTCAGACTTACCTTTCCATGATGCGTTGTGTTGTCATGTCGTACTTCCAAGAGTTCGGGAGTTTCAGTGGATATATCGTGACCGTGCCTATGAGCGCATCGACCTGGTATCTGAAACAATAAGACGTGAATCTCCATTGAGTTAAAAATAATAACAATAGTAATTTATGTTTCTCTTCATAAACAATAATGCGATTATACTATTTGCCATTGTTAATGGTTACTTAAAAGACATTTACAAAATTTGTTTGTTGGAGTCCTATTTAGAAAAAATTCCAATCAAGTTAATGAAAACGAATATAAACAGTAAAAGAGTATATTGAAAGTGCGTCTTTATATAACACAGCTACAAGTATATTTGGTTTGTACCTACTTATATTTTTAGTTTGATTATAATCTAAATTAAATGATTTTTAAATTAGTTTATTTTGAGTGAAGATATAAAGAGCTTTCTTAATTTCTTTGTTAATTCTATATCCCCGATGATGGTGTTGTTGATAGAATGTGTACGAATAATTTATCTTAAAACTGTGGCCTTTAAATAACAAAATATAATAATTTAATAATAATCTGGGGGCACAGCGGTGCCCCCGCCAAGTCGATCAAAAAAGCGGCACGGCCGTACCATCCTTTTCTCGAAGCACTTCAGGCAAGGCTTCAGGCCAACTTCATTGTGGATAAAACTAGAAGCCTTAATTTTCAGATACCAAGCAGGCATTATATAAAAAAAACATACTTCAAATTTCTTTCAATTTGAACCAGTAGTTTAAGAATGATAACTAGTCAAAGTTTCTTAATTTTGTCACTCACTCACTGACTGATTGACCGATCATCAAAACTCTAAAGCACTTCTAGCGGACATAGAAGCTTCAAACTTAGAATATATTTAGTGTTTAGTATATAAATTAAGGAAAAACTAAAATATTTTTCAATTTCTGTACAATTTTTAGATACATCAACTGCATAAATAACTTTGTAATCAAATATAAATATATAGCAGTACAAAGTTACATTTGCAGTGAATGAATAAGTGTACCTGTATATGAATAATATAATGGAATAATAGGTGTAGATAGGTACGTTGTTGGTATTCAAGAAGTAAAAGGTACTGGAAGGAAAAAAAGTAAGATTATCTACAAAAAGAAATGAGATGCCATCAAAAACATAACTTATTAATCATAAAAAAACAAGGCACGCAACACAATTCTTCTACCGTAAAAAGTCGCGAGATCCATGTAATACCAAGTCGGTTAATTTATTCAGTCCCTACTTAAGGGTCTTTCTGTTTTAAGTTATTGCGTAATTAGCTAACATAACAACATCTTATTGTGACCATATCAATATTAAAAATCTTTTATATTTTAAATAGATTGACTTGGCAATCGCACTAAACAATCGAATTTAATATAATATTGTTACGAGCTTGAGGTTCGTGACAATAAAAATTGCCGATAAAATTACCTAAATTAACACTTTAATTTACTTTACACAATTAAAGTTAAAACACTAATAATTTAAACACACTAATTCACTTAATTCCACTCCGAAGCTTCGCTTGTGTCGCCGAGTTCACTCTGCCTCGATCGCATCCTGCGCCACCTATTTAATTAAATTAGCAAAATATCCGGAATGTTCAAGCAAACACGCGTAAGGTACCGAGAATTCGAGTATAGATTTTCTAGAAACTTAGTTCTTCGGGTGGCGCTGTCGGTCGAAAGGTTTGTGATGTCATTTACTGCCAAGCTCCCCTCGCTCTTGTTGCTGACACTAGATGGCGCTAGTTGACTTATTCATGCAACACTGCCCCCTCCTAAGACATGCTCGTCCCGAGCATTATCGGTCCCATAATAACGCGCCAAGCGATCCACATGGACGATCTTAGGAGTCCCTCTTGCGCCTTTCTGTATCCGGTAGGTCACATCGTTGATCCTGGTTACAATCCGGTACGGGCCGTCCCATTTAGCTTGAAGCTTAGGAGATTTCCCTTTGCTGCGGACTGGATTGTGCAACCACACTAATGAACCTTCGTTGAACCCTTTATTGTTCATTTTGCGGTCGTACCGGGTTTTCATTTTCTCAGACATTTGCTGGCCCGATTGTCTGACGTGCTCATAAATGTCATTCATTTTGTTCCGCAAGTCATTTGCATAATCGGTTATACTGCGTGGGGCATCAGGTGGTATCCCGGTGATCAAGTCCGCAGGCAGCCGTAATTCTCTTCCAAAGTTTGCGAAAGCTGGTGTCACTGCTGTACTTTCGTGAACAGAACTTCGATATGACAACAAAAACGGTTGTATGTGCTTGTCCCAATCTCGTTGCCGATTGTCTACAACTTTTGCTAGGTACCTCTCCAATGTCTGATTAAATCGTTCTACCATTCCATCAGATTGCGGGTGATAAGAAGTCGTTCTTGTTTTATGAGTACCCATAACTCGGCAAGTTTCCTGGAATATTTGAGACTCAAAATTCCTTCCTTGATCGCTGTGAATCTCTAAAGGTACTCCAAAACGACAGAAGACTTCATGAACTAGTTTATCTGCAACTGTTGAAGCTTCTTGCTTTGGAATGGCGAAGACTTCTGGCCACTTAGTGAAGTAATCCATCACAACCATGAAATACTTGTTACCGCTTTCACTCTCCGGAAACGGCCCCGCCACGTCAATGGCTATTCTCTCCCATGGTGCGCCCACATTGTACAACTTCAATGCACCTCTACTACGAGTCTGAGGTCCCTTTACAGCCGCACAATTTGTACATTTGCGACACCAGTCCTCGACATCGTTTCGACAGTGGACCCAGTAAAACCGTTCTCGGATCTTCAGTAGAGTTCGCTTAACTCCCAGATGGCCTCCTGAATAATCATTATGGTACAGCTGTAGAACATCCGGTACTTTAGCTTTAGGGACAACCATTTGTAAATGACAGCTGTCTCCCCGAACATTTTCCCATTTACGGCACAGAACTCCATCCTGAAGCAGCAAGCTGTCCCACTGGGCCCAGTAGCTTTTAGTGGTCGAACTCATCGCTGAGACGTCGCTCCACTTGGGCTTGGGAGCACTGACCTTCATCCATTCCAGGATCGGCTTGATGTCCGGATCTTCCTGCTGTGCCCGTTGTAAGCTGTCCTTCCACTCGTTGCTGAGGTGGTCTGCCCTGAGCATCCTCACGGATACCACTTCCTTACTCTCTTGCCTAGTACAATGTTTGCAATCTTCAGGACAAGGTCTTCTTGACAATGCATCTGCGTTGCCATTAGATTTCCCGTTACGATGTTCGATCTCAAAGTCGTATTCCTGCAGTAGTTCAATCCACCTCGCAACTTGTCCTTCTGGATTTTTAAACTGCAATAGCCATTTTAGTGCAGCATGGTCAGTTCGTAAGTGAAATTTTCGCCCCAGAAGATATTTGCTAAAATGCTGCAACGACTTTACCACAGCTAGCAATTCGCGTCTTGTGACACAGTAGTTCCTTTCCGGTTTTGACAACGACTTGCTGAAGTACGCTATCACGACCTCTTGGTCACCATTACGTTGAGACAACACACCGCCAAGTCCTATATCACTTGCGTCTGTGTCAACTATAAATTCTTTGCTTGCATCAGGGTATCCCAAAATAGGTGTTTTGCACAGACGGTCCTTGAGCTCCTGGAATGCGATATTGCAACTTTCATCCCAGCAGAAATGTCGCTTCTCCTCGGTTAGCTTGTGCAGAGGTTTAGCTATATCTGCAAAGTTCTTCACGAATCGCCGGTAATAGGAGCACAAACCCAAAAATGCTCTAACCTGCGTCTTGTCTTTTGGAACCGGCCAATCCTTGACAGCGGCGATTTTCTCTGGATCTGTGCGGATACCTTCTTCCGATACTACAAACCCCAAAAAGTTAACTTGCCGTTGGAATAGTGAACATTTCTTCGGGCTCAACTTGAGGTTGGCACTCTGAATCTTCATGAGCACGCGTTCCAGGTTTTGAAGGTGTTCCTCAAACGTACGGCCCACGATGATGATGTCATCCAAGTAGACCAGACAGGCATCGCCAATTAGCCCGGTAAGTACAAGTTCCATCAGCCTTTCAAACGTTGCTGGAGCATTGCACAACCCAAACGGCATTACTTTGAATTGCCACAGACCCTTTCCCGTCGAGAACGCAGTTTTCTCCTTGTCCTTAGGGTCAATTTCAACTTGCCAGTAGCCACTTTTTTAGATCCAGCGTGCTAAACCATTTTACTCCTGTAAGCATGTCCAGCGTGTCATCAATTCTTGGTAAGGGATAGCTGTCCTTCTTTGTAACGTCATTCAGACGGCGGTAATCAACACAGAACCGCATGCTGCCATCCTTCTTTTTCACCAGCACCACTGGTGAACACCATGGACTAGAGGAAGGTTCAATAACACCATCCTTCACCATTCCTTCAATCATGGTTTCCACTTCCTTTTCACGTGTTACCGGCAATCTTCTTGGCCGCTGACGGATAGGCAATTCCTCTCCTGTGTTTATTTTGTGTTGAACTAAGCCAGTCTTTCCTATGTCAGCATCGTTTGATGAGAATACATCGGCGTACTTGAGTAACAACTTCTTCGCCTTGACCAATTCGTTCGGGGACAGAACACTGCGACAGTCTTCCAAAAGTGTGGTCACTCTCGTTTCTGAATCCTTGCTGGGGGTCCCACTCGATATAGATTGGCACTGACGTAACCAATCCACTTCCTCACAAGTACCAACCAGTGTGCCTTTTTCTATAATCTGTTCCCGGTCGTAAAGGTTCAGCACACGTACTCCTGAGCTGTCAGTGGTCCTGACCAAGGTCTTCGAGCTACTTTCCATGGAAGGTCATTGTTTACCCTTTCCACAAGTACACAGCGGTGAGTTTGCCCAGCGTTTCGAGGAAGACTAACCGGAACAATCGTTTCCGATCTCGGCGGAAGAACAATCTTCTTGATGCTGTACACGTTCCCTGGTAACGCACCTTCCATAAAAAGTTCCTCCTGTCCACATTTCAAAACACCTTGCTTAACGTCGATCTCGCAACAATTATTCCTCATAAAGTCTAAGCCTAGGATGCAGTCGTCCATTATATCAGCCACGATGACATTATGCAGGTAGATCACGTTGCCTAGCTTCAACTCCATCTCCTTCTCTCC